CCCCCCCCCCCCCCGCCCCTGACGACATTTGTTGAACAGAGTGTTGTACCAGGAATTGTTCGCTTATCAGAACTTCCGGTTGCGCAACGTTGTACAAGTCACATGATCGTCACGTGAAAGATAGGAGAATCCTCCGCCCAAAGTAGCAGTACAGTGCTCTTTGTGACGGCTTGCATGGTGATTGGAATATGGGTAAGAGGCTCCATATAGAATATAGTAGAAAATCGAGAGAGTCCGTCAAAAGAATGTCATTGTTGGTTTGATGATGGTAATACATGCAGAGTACATATCTGAATAAGAAACCTGAGAGCTTCACTGGCGTTTGCATGTGGCATGCGATCTAGGAGGTAGTTCGCATTCAGTTTATATTCATGCCGTGGGAGATTGCAGTATTTCGTAGCTACGTATCTTCCTCTTGAGACTTCTGAAACAAGTGGATTCCAGGAATTGTGTGGGGGCGCCGCGAGAATTTCCGGTTGCTGTCGAATGTACCGGCGGTTCACTGCGCAGCAGCGAAAGGTGGGTGGGCGGTTAGGCGCCGTGCCAAACGGCGGCGGGTTAAATCTGGACCGTGATAGCGTGCCCAGTCGGGTGCAAGACGTGCGTGTACCTGCTGCAGCGGTGCCCTCGAAAAACGAACGAACGACTTTTGCTACACAATTACGATCGATTATGGAGCCACTGGATTTGACCTTCCTGTCTCCTGAGCTGTGGTATCAGCAGGTGAAGAAACTGCTTGTAGTTCCGCCTCATGGCGTTGTAACACTATCAAATTATTTTATCGGTGTTCTCTCTGTTAACAGTTTGTGACACTAGATGGGCTGAATTCTGGGGTTCCAACACGAACAACACCAACCCTGACACCAACAACGCTGCGCAACATCGAGCAGACGTTTATCGAACTTCAGAGTGAAGTAGAGTCTCACCAGAACGAGGCTGGCTTTGTCCCCCCAGTGGTGCAGCCTATCACACAAGGTATTAAATGTGAATTAGTGCTAAGTGTACTTTATGCAAACAGAAGTGTAACGTTGAACTAAACGAACGTTTTATTTGCAGGTAGCACATACATGAGTCTTGTAGACAACAAGGGTTGGCAAGGTGGAATAGCATCAGTTGCGCAGACCCGCTCATCTGTTACGGCTACAGCTTCAGCACCGACAACAATCATGACTACGACGCGCAGGAATATGGGTGGTAGGCGACCAGCTAAGAACAGTGGGGTAAGTGCCACAGAGACACTTTGCACTGCATTCCATTGTATGTGGGCATTTTCTGCCCTCACTGCATGAGCAGCAGTTACTGATTGTAGGAACTATTTTTAGATATCTCCTGAGGAGGAGGAGAGGAGAAGAGTGAGGCGGGAGAGGAACAAAATGGCGGCAGCACGATGCAGGAAAAGGAGAATGGACCACACTAATGCCCTGTTGCTGGTGAGACTATAAACTGATTCAGATTCAGGATCATAAGACATACCTGCTTGTACTTGGCTCAACAGTGTTTGATGAGTGTCACAAAGTACTAAGTTTGTTGCTTATTGTATATTTTCACTATAACTTAATTCTTCAACTGTGCTCTATTTGCCATATTTCATTGTCGGTATTTTCAGAAGTACATGAATACCTTTCGTAACAAACATGATGAAAGCTGTGATTTGGCAGCCATATTATTGTGTTGGGTTCTGTCCAGTTTTGGTTTGTCAAGGCAGAGAGTAGAGTAGAACAAGAGCAGTATCAACTACAGCAAAGATTGTTCACTCATGCACATTTCTCTGTGCCTTAGTTTTAAAGGTGGTCCGGATACTCGATATATATGGATGAGATCTTATTGGCCGCCAGTATGAAAAGGGACGGAACGTGGCACGAGGGCACCAATCAAAGATAATACAGAAGTTTAAAATTGCAATGTAATTCTGCATTTGGTTGTATTGACTGATATATTACTGAAGCAAAATAAAATGGTATGGAAAATATTAAAAGTTACAGATGCATAGCCGATGATGAAGGTTGCAAACTCATTAGTTTATATGATAATGAGTCTTGTATTTGACGGCGGTGAAATTACCTGTGTTACAGGAGACAGAGGGCCTGGAAGAGAAGAAACAGGGCCTGCAGCAGGAGATCCAACAACTGCAGATTCAGAAAGAGGAGCTCGAGTTCCTCCTGGAGGCACACAAGGCATGTTGCCGGCTCAGTGGTTCAACTGGGCCGCAGTCTCCCCCAGATGTCAAGCCAGTTGTGTATCCAGCATCTGGTCTTGAGGATAAGATGATTCGCGTGAAGCAGGAAATGGATGATCCGAACACCACTGCAGCGGTGCCACTTAGCCACCCGACAGCCCCCAAGAGGCCTGCCTTGGCCAGCGATGCAACTGCTGGAGTAAAGCCATCGCGCCCAAATTCGCTCCCTGTGGCCACAGCCTTCACGCCCTCGCACAGCACCCTCAAGGCTGCCGTGG